CACGACAAGACTCAGCCACGAAACCGCTACTTGGTTGTGTCTGTTGATAAGCCATGGTGCTTTGTCAGAAAGTTTTCTGGTAACCAACTACGAGCTTTTGCTTACAAAGTAAGAATCAGTGAATGTCACCTGATCCCAAGTCAGATACCAAAATTCCACCTAGCCGTACAACTGACACAGATAGCGAAGACGACGTTCAAGGTTCCAACCCACCTTTCCAGCCAACAAACATACCACCAGTATTAACCCTCCCAGGTTCACAGCTATCTCCACACCCAACATCATCGCAAGGCTGCTGATTCTGATCTCAACTCTAATACCAGACTTCCACGTGACCGGAATCCACCAAAGTACTTTGAATATGAGACTTGGTAACGTAATAGTTAAAACGAAGAAGAAGAAGAAGGCCACGCCACAATTGACATTGTTATTGTTATGTTAAAGTTACAGTACGTCACACATACAATGACGTATTCTGATTAGCATTATTAAAATGTTAAAGTTACAGGAAGTACGTCACATCAGACATTGACAATATAAATATATTAAGCCCCGGTCGGCGCTTGCGAACATCTGTGATTTCGTGTTGTATATTATATCCTTTATATTGTGTTATTCGTCTTGAGTTTTCTCTTATTTACTGGCGGTAAGTAAATAACATAAGTAATCGTAATACTTGATGTAATCGATCACTGAAAGCCCCAATGGGGAGTGAACTGGACTGCAATGTACTGATTATTAATGATCTTTAGACTTCGCTTTCCTGTGTTTTCCTCGGGGGTAAATAGCCGTCCCGAATCAGTACCCTCGCCCCGGGCTTACGCCTGAAACGGCGCATCGCACCGTTGGCTCAGCGATAGGTTTAGTGTTAGTACCACGATCTCCAATAACCTAACTGTTCAAAATATACATTAACTATTTACATTTGAACAATACCAAACGTTAAAACGTAAAAAACACACTAAACAAAAGTTCAAAAACTGGTTAACAACATACGTACTTTTTAGTTTCAACTATACGTACGATTTAAAGAATACTGGTGTCGTTTTCTCAAGAAAGCACTCGAAAACTATTTCGCGTCAAAAAGACCACGAATTTTCCACGCGCACGACGCGAGAATGACGTCTGACTAAATCAACTTTATTTTACTAATAGCTGCAGGGAGCCTCCTCAAGTTCACTTAATTTCATTTCTTTTAGCCAATTGTAACTTTGACAGTGGAAATACCTGCCGTTATCAAAATGGTGCTGGACAATTTAATTGGAGGGTTAACACAGGTTCAACATCCAGTTATGGAACCGGACCAAGTTCTGACGTCAGCGGCAGTGGTAAGCTGTTAAATAAACTTTTAGGCCTTAGAAACAGGGGAGGATATGATCAGGGTTACGATCAGGTTTCTTTAGCATTTGCTTTGGACATTTACGATAAATTGCAATTAGGTTTGGGTGGGATCTTAACAATAACTTATTCTATTGTTAGCACTAAAAATAACATCGTTAGATTATTAACCTGTCGGCGTTTTGCTCGTCCTACCCGAAATAGATAAGGAAACTTAAATTTCTGAGTAAAACCTCCTCATTTGCAAATTGGTTTACTTTTCTTTTTTGTAAGTCGCTTTGTCACACTTCTATTTTGGACACAGGGGCCCCATTATGAGTTAAGATTGAAATAAAATTGTATTTATTTGAAAAACCTGAATTCCTTGAACATCGATTATTTATTTTCTCGAAGTTTTGTAAACCTTTTCAGCCCGTTCTCCACTAGGCGAATTTGTTCGCGCGAACAGTAAAAAAGTAGGAACTGATCCAACTTTTTCGCGGCGAATTTTTTCGCTGACCAATCACATTGCCAAGATTTGTTTTTCGCTTCGCGTCGCGCGAAAAAATTCGCCTAGTGGAGAACGGGCTTGACTGATCCAACTATTTCGCTGCGAATTTTTTCGCTGACCAATCACATTGCCAAGATTTGTTTTTCGCTTCGCGACGCGCGAAAAAATTCGCCTAGTGGAGAACGGGATTTAAACGGCTCAGAGTGATTATACTATCACTCTACATGACGTTTCACGAAGTACAGATGATCGCCGACAAGTAAAGAACGCGGGCGCGAAATGTCGACGGCAGCAGAAGAAGGGGGAAAAGAAAGGAACACGTTCTACTATAGGGTCCAATATTCTATTTAGCCAGAAATGGTGCCAATTTTGGTATTTTTAAACAAATTTCTCCAAAACTGAAAAACACAGAAAAATTGGTGCTTAAAAACACCTTTTGTGCAAAAAAAAAAGAATGCAAATTTTCTTCTCTTGCCAAAACAACCAAATTTACATAAAATTAACAATACATTTTATAGACTGTTCTGAAAAGGATAAAATAATGCAAAAATAGCATGACAGCTAACAGTGAAAATATGTTGGTTTAACCAAAGGCATCTCTGATCAATTTATGGAATCTATATCAATGTTTCGATTTATCGAGCCATGTCAATGTTTCGATTTATCGAGACCATGCCAATGTTTCGATTTATCGAGACCATGTGATTGTTTCGATTTATCGAAACCAAGTCAATGTTTCGATTTATCGAGACACTGCCAATGTTTCGATTTATCGAAGACCATGTCAATGTTTCGATTTATCGAGACCATGTCAATGTTTCGATTTATCGAGACTATGCCAATGTTCCGATTTATCGAGACTATGTCAATGTTTCGATTTATCGAGACCATGTCAATGTTTTGATTTATCAAGACCAAGTCAGTGTTTCGATTTATCGAACTAACCATCTTAGTGGTATCTAACATAACCTAAATCAACACAGTTTAGCAAAAAATGATGTTCTATTCAACTTAGCATTATACAGATAAATAGAAAATATATAAAGCACAATGTATTTATGTGAAAACTATTATGCTCAATATCAAAATGATATATATCTAATTAAATTCACAAACAAACTAACTATTAAATAAGACTCACCCCTTAATGAAATATAACCTTATATGCTATAAGGTTATAGATAGAGCAATATAATAAAAGGGCAGTAGACTAGTAGGGCACATTTAAGTTTTGTACTGTAATGCTCCTCAAAATGTAAGACTGTAAAGCTGGATGAATGTAAAGTATCACATTTATTACCATTTAAACTGCAAATGGTAATGTAAATTAGTTGTGCCGAGCTCTGCACTTATTACATTACTCTGTCCAGTACAAGGTCACTTTACAGTATTCTTTTTCTATATAAACATAACTAATATGTTCTTCAACAATGAGTTCATCGTCTAGCATGTGGTATCAGCATATCTTTTCTTTTCCTTATGCAAGTCAAAGGCTACAAGAAATATACAACCTGGCAAACATCTACCCAAGGTTCATTTTTATCAGCCAATGAAAAGACCATTTCTTGCCGATGATTCCTTTACGATAATGAATCTTGAATGAAGATCATCTAGCGTCACCAATGACTGGTTTGTTATATATAGCCCTCTAAATTTGAAAAAGCAAAAGATTGCTCATCAACATAATCCTAAATAAAATTGATATTATTAATGAATGATGATTATGGGTCAAATTAGACACATTTATAACAGTGCCTTGTATACCCTGGCTTACAGTAGTTGCAGTTTGCTTTTTCTTAATGATGCTATGCCTATTGATAGAACACCGATAATTCTCACAATGCTTTCATTAAAATTACAATGCCCAGTCTCTCATTTCAACAAATCTGGGATCTGACCAAGTGGTCTAAGGGGCGACATCCATACTCAAACTGCCACGCAAAACGTCATTTTGACTGGGTGGGTTTTCGAGAGTCAATTTGACGTTTTTCGTGGCAGTTTGAATTTTTTTAAATCAGAAAATATTGAACACATGTGCAGAGATGATTTTGGATGTATATGTCGAAGTTAACTTGAAATAATTACTGACGGTCATAATAACCTATTGTTTTCTCTCTGCATTATATCAGCAAATGTCGAGAAGTTTTAGCGTTCTTCTGAAAAACGAGAGCGGTCTTTTTTGATTGTAGGGAAATTCCCAGGGGTAAATGTTTATACGGGCTAAAATAGCACACAGCATTATTAAAAATAATGCAGCGTGCACACAGCATTATTAAAAATAATGCAGCGTGAACACAGCATTATTAAAAATAATGCAGCGTGCACACAGCATTATTAAAAATAATATGCGTGTATCAGTGCACACAGACATTATTCGCAATCCTTCGTCATCCTGACAAGTACACGCGATAACGTGAACATCTCAAGATGAGAAGTTGACAGTGCTAAAGGCCCCTCATACAATATCATCGGGCGCCTGAAGCACTGCCAAAACGCTCGCTGTGAGCACAGAAGAGATAATACCAGAAGTCTTACTCAAGCGGAAACATGTCCCATCTTTTTTATTGCGCATGCGCGAGCTAAACAAGTGTAATGCAATGTTGACAATAGAAAATTATATTGGGAAGTTGTCATTTCTACAGTAAAAACAGCTTTTTTTCAAGTAGTACGAAATGTGACTTCGATTTATCTGTGGAACTATTTGAACAGAAGGTAAAGCAGTAATTTTGTTGTATTTAGAAAGCAAACAGGGTCATATTTTAAAGAAAAGAGCGCACTAAATATAAATTTGAGCATCATTAAAATGTGTTCGCTATGATGCCATTTTGTCTCCAGTATATACGGAGTACTGCTTTTATACTGGTGGATATTCGAATTTATTTGGCTCAAAAACACCATTACTTCAATATCCCTTTCTTGTTTTTCCTTGGATAGGTTTTAACAAGATAGAACTCTAGATCACTTGGGTCCAAAAACGCTAGATTATAAAATCCTGATGTGACTTGATACTACAAATAGAATATGTCTTGTGATGTAATACTACAAATAGAATGACAAACTTCAATGAATTGATAAAGTGTAAGGATAGTGTTTAAAGTTGCTTCATGTGTAGAAGCTGAATTACTTTAGTTTATACACTGTAATGTCGATATCACATGTTGATATGACTTTAATACTAGCAACTTGCAATAAGTGGTCTGTCCTGCTTGTTTATAATACTTTAGAGTTTGGACATAGAACATTGTAATTGCCTGACAGAGACTGTTTATAGGGCCTGTTTGTATGGAAGCCGGGCTGGCCCGCTTAGCGAGACAGGTAGATACGCAGGATGAACATATGGTCACTTTTTAATGAACCAAGGAAGAGTCACGCACAAAACAACATTTAAGCAGTATAAACAAAGAGAGAGAAGAGAATATTGATTATTGGATGTTTATTAAAAGTGCTAGATTCTATCTAAGGTAGATACGCAGGATGATTTCTCTTGTGTTTATTTGAGAAAATTTCATCCTGCTTACCGGGACAATTTTGTTGTTTTGACATTGTTTTGACAGTTGTTAAAAATAGCTTGCGGCAGTATCGTTGAACATTCATCCGGGCAACTGGGCTAGCCTGCTTGTGATTGTTTATATGGAAAAATTTCCATCCTGGTCTCTGCAACAGGGCCTCCCGCTTGTACATAGAAACAATTTTAATTATAATTTTTACTATAAAAATAAGTAGACAGTGAGATCTCACTTACCGGGCTGTCTCACTTAGCGGGCCAGCCAGTTTCGATATAAACAGGCCCTTAAAAGCTGCAAGTTTCCTTAAAGCAATATCGTCTATATCACAGAATACAGTTTCTGTAGTGACATACTTTGTGTGTTTTCTGTCTTTAAAGTGTCTTATGTTTGTAATATTTTTGTACAATACATTTTTGAAATTGTTGATACTGGTCTCATTGTAACTCAGTTATTCCTTCTCAAGAAAAATAAAAAAACAAAGCTGTGTGGGTGTGTTTTTTGCTCTAGTTTTTACATCTACATGATTCATGTACAATTAATGTACATTTAAATTAGCTTTGTTCAATGAATACAGGTGTGATTCAAATATCATTCCTATCTGGTACTTGGATCAAATGGACATAAGCATACCAAATCATGCTATGAATTGAAATACAAGTATAGGGTGTGCATTGTTTAAATAAATATATTTTCCAGTTAACCCAGTAAGCTGCATTGTGCCCCAATGCACCTTACTTTACTAGTTTATTTCACTTCATCTAATGCCAGATGATTTTACTTATCGAG